TTTTTAATTAAACTCAACAAATTTCCCATCAAAAAACTTGCAACAGCTTAATCAAAAATATCAAAGTAATGCATTTCTCTCATCCTCGACTCAACCATTAACTGCTAATGGACATTCCAACGATTTCAATCTTTATCATTATTAAGGCAAGTAACAAGTGCTAACATCCGACAGTCCTTTCCTCTTTTATATCCTCTTTTCTATCTTTCCCTCTGATATGTTTTATATCTGTACAAATTTTACCCATGTATCCTTACATCCATATCTATCTCCTCTCACTTCATAAAATATTTGCATTCATTTGGAATTAATCTATCGCATTATGAACTCATACTCATAATTTTGTATCTTTGAGGGCTTGAACGCTCAATTTTGAAGCTTATTAAGGCGTTTTTATGACTGGATGAGGATAAAAGCTGACGTATCGTAACATTTGTAGGCACTTTTAAAGTTAAAATGTCAGCTATGACTCTAATATAAACATTAAGCTATTAAGCAATCTACAACAGATAAATTTCATCCAGACAAACTCACACAAAGCCAACACTACTAATCAAAACTTTTTCAATTTAAACAGATGTACAAGACAGAATTACAAAATTAATTGAATGGAACAAAAGTTTTTCGGAAGCTTCTAAGCCTGTCAATTCTCTCTTACGCTTACACAATGAAGCAAGAATTACGAGGAAAGACGAGAAAATTGAGATGGAAGAAAAAAAATTTAATCTTTTTTATTAGGAGTTTATGGATAATGGATCATTAGTATAAAGCTATGTTGGGATTACACTCACTATAATGGTATCACTTGCTGCTTGTCTTAAGCTCCTTTGTTAATGATAGTTATGGAGAATGATAAAGTTTTGATTCCACTTATTATATCTGATGCTTTGAAATGTTTTCATGAGAATGAATTTGAAGTTATGTTTGGAATCTTCTTTTGTTCATGATTGTGTTAATTTTTCTGGAACTTAGACTTCCGGGAGATCATGAACAAGTTTTAATATTTTTAAAATGAATTTTTACATTCCATTATATGATTCAGATATCATCATGGTTAAAATTGATATTCTTGTTACATTGAAAATCAGTTCTTGGGGTCATTCACATGTGACGTTGTCAAACCTAGCGACTACAACATCCAACAGCACTCTAAAATAATAAACGTCATAATTAAATGAACCCATCATTTAGAAAAGTCTGTCATTTACAACACTAATGAGGTACAAATATTGCTGCGGTAAAGTTTTAATGAGCAGTCCGATATGATAATTATCATGAATGAAATTTTCGGTAATCATTAAAATCTATGATAACGAAAATATCAGCATTATGCAGTATTAATAATTCAAATTCATCAAAAGCTTTCTCTCATAATCAGCAACCTATTAGCATTTCCATTTATCATCGCTTATCAATAAGTAGATTATTTAATGCAATTGATGGAAAATATCGAAATTCTTAACATTGTTTAAGCATTACTCTATCAGTCTAGATCATAAGCTGCTTAGCTTGATTTTTAAATTTGGGTCAAAGAATATTAAAAAATAGACAAAATAGTGAAGAGCTAAGAGTAATGTTCAAAATGAGGTAATAAGTGCTATCAAGGTCAAGTCAGTGTTCAATTTAAAGATCTTGACTTGACACGACATAACTTAGTTGAGGGTTGTGATACAGGCACCTGTGCCTGCATCGCAACCAAGTCTTTATTGAATCATTCAACAATTCATATTTTATTTCCATCCTTAACAGAATCTTCATATTAGTGTATGTTTTTACCCTAGCATCATCTACATCAGCGGCAACTAAATATCAAGATGTATTTTGCAATTTTACTTCATTAGGAACATCCTATTATGGATGTTATCTGTATCGTGCCAATATCACAAGAACTGGCATACCTTTAAAATTTGACTCAAATCATGCTGAATGGAAAACTGATGCTGATGTCATGGCTGTCGTATCTTCGTTAGATTTTGATGGATTAATTGAATCTTTTCATTATCAACTGGTTCAAAAGTTTAAGAATATTCAACAAGTTGTGCTGCGAAATGTTAAATTAAAGAAATTACCTACAAAATCTTTCCAAAATTGTAGCTCGATTATCAATATAGATTTAAGCAACAACTACTTAAGTGCAATTTATGGAAAATTGTTTGCATCATGTGGAATCCTTAAATATTTAGACTTAAGCTACAACATGATTTTTGAGATCGGTAATGATGCTTTTCACGGTCTTGAAAACCTACAAGAACTTAATATTGCATATAATCGTGTGACATTTTCGCAAGAAGCAGTTCAAAATTTGACAAAATTAAAGAAACTTTATGTGCAGCATTATTGGCTGAAAAATGATGACCTGGCGGTTTTTCATCACTTACAAGAATTGGAAGTTATCGATCTGTCTAATTTTCATTCGTCATTTTTACTAGTTGAGAAGTTAATTGAAGGATTGAAGAATTTGATGGAAATCACACTAACTTATAATTATCATTATGCTGTAAATTTTGAGTTTCTGTCTCAATTTAGTTTAAGAATTTTAAATCTAGACAGCAACACACTAGTCTATATCCCAGAATATTCATTTAAAAATTTCACACACTTAACTATTCTTGGTGTCTCTTTCAATTACTTACAAGCTTTATCAGTAAATACATTTTATGGACTTCAGAACTTAGAACAACTTTATCTCTCCTACAATTCCATTGACAAAATCCACGAAAAAGCATTCGATCATCTTAATAAGCTCTTCTTTCTGAACTTAAATCTGAATAGAATTGAAGCTTTATCATTAAGAATGTTTAATAATTTGGGAGATCTTAAATATCTGTTGATCAGTGGCAACCGAATTTCTAATTTTGCAGATCATACATTCAAAAATTTGGAGAAATTAATAATGCTAACTTTTGATGAGAATCGAATAAGTAGCCTAAACTCTAGTGCATTTGGGAGACATGAGAACCTTACATACATCACAGCAGATTCCAATATGATCATTAAAATTGAGGAAAGTTTTTTCGATAGCTTTCCAAATTTGATGATGTTTTCTGGATTTGACAATTTATGCTTTAATGGATACATCCAAAACTTCACAGAAGTTAACAAAACTGAGTATTTTTATGAATGTTTTAATAATTGGGAAATTTCGGTTGAATCTCCAATACCTCCAGCAGATGGAGTAGCTTTGGAATCAACCACAACAGAAAAGAGCAAGCAGAACAAATTAAACATTTCAATGATTCTATTGCTTGCAGCTTTTTGTGTATATTTCTTGATATGAATTAAAATCTTGGGGGTTATTCGTAATTGACGTCAATGATGAAACTTTTGGACCCTCTTCGACATTTGTTTCTGATTGGCAAGCGGTTCAAAGAAGGTCAATTTAAATAATTTTTTTAAACATAATGGACGTCACTAACGAATGGCCTTAAAAATCAGTATGAACATTTGTTTAAGCCTAAGGAAAGTATCTCGTCTTCTTTTTCAAGAAAGAATCATCATTAATTTTTCATCGTTTTTGAAAATTCAATTATTCCGCTTTTATACCTTCTTGTAATTCAATTTGAAAGCCAAAAGAACCTCAAAAGAACATTGCATAAGAATAAGAAATGAAAAGGAACTTCTTCTCCTTCATCCACAAAAGCACAAGACGAGAAAGCTTATGTGTATATAAATGAAATGCGAAATAAAACATGAAAATGTATGTATATGAATAATTTACAGACTATGCAGTCGTCTTGTTCGAGTTTCATGTTTAATTATTGAAGAACATGAAAACATTATGGGAATTTGCGGTTTGCTCAAAAGTGTCTGTTCTGCTGTTGCTATCCTTTAATGATGAACATGATTTTAATTTTAAAGGAGTAAGCAGAAGAAGAACATCCCTTAGAGAAATTTATAATGGATTTCTGATTTTTCGTGGTTGCTCCTCAAAAACCAATACCTGCTGTTAAGCATATAAAAAGTCTGGTAAAATTTTTCTAACGGCTTTTTATTTTTTTTAACAACATATCGATGTTGCTACACACATGAATACCTTAACAGTAAATTTTAAAGCACACAAATCATGATTCAATTAAATGAGAGCTTTTACATAAATTTCAATTTATCAAGTCGAGCGCCTGTTTGTCTTCCATCGTCCGCCAACCTCGCAAAAAAAATATAAAATAAAATAAAAACAACATACAAGCTACTGATAGAAATCGCATGACAACATCGCATAAATTTCATTTCATCCATCCTATATTTTCTTACTATCCACACATTTTACATGTGAAAATATATGTACATGAGGTAGGTAATAGTTGGTAGACAATAACAGCAGTTATTTGCAAATTCACATACAAACATGCCACACATACATTTCTTATTCAAATAACAACATCAAATATTTTCTGATAGCAATCATCATTTTTTTCAGGCACTAGGCACTTTTTTGGACTGAAAATTATGGAAAATGTTTTTAAAATTTATAAAGTCATGCTGGCTGGGTGCAAAAGCGTAGCAAGAGGTGTGCACTTCAAAATCTTAGCTGTAGCTACAATTTAGGATTTTTCCAAAAAGCAGTTATGGGGCCATTCACTTATGACGTCCAGAGGGTGTGGGGGGGGGGGGTCAGTAAGAAAAGAATAGAAATTCCAGGAAATCCATTGTTCTTTTTTGAAAAATTACCGTTAATTTCGGACGTCATAAGTGAACGACCCCTAAGGTTCAATTTTAAAGACTCGTCATGTTAGGCAGCTTTTAATGTGCCTTATAAGATTAAATGCGCTCTATTCACACATTGCAAACTTTTACTCCTTATTCGTGCCATTTTTCTTTTCACTGCCTTTCTATTACGTATTTACATTTGAAAGAAGCTAAGGAAAATGATAAGATACCCATTTCATTTTTTCAGCAAGAAGGAGGAATTCACTAGACAATATTAAATGTTTTTTTCAGTGCATGTGAACATATATTCAATATATAAATTATTGTCATGACATTTACGCTCCAAAAATTTTCTATACAAATGATTCTATCAATGTCACTAACGACACAGTCCAACTCAAAAGCATCAGAAATGTTGGTAAGCATGCATGAATAAATCCTGCTTTTATTTTTAACAATCTTTGTGTCCTCATCAGAATGAAAAGATAATTTTTGTCAATTTGATAAATATCATCGCCCACAGATAAAGCTGAATCCATGACTTTTTGACTTCCATAAGAGTAAGTGAAAAGCGCAACAGTTCCTCCAATCAAGTGGGTACCAGCAGTGATTTTTTGTGAGACTTCAGGAATGATAATTATTTGGATAGCAGCTATACAAAAAATTAAAGCCATCATCGAAAACTGAATTAAGACCACAGGCCAGTAAAGTTTTGATAGTTTAGTTGCTACTTCGATAATTTCGCGGTGAGAATCGACAAATTTCTTCAATTCTCTTGTGTTGACTGTCTTTCGGAGGATCTCAAAGTGACCACATATGTATAAGCAACAGGTGAAGAAGGTTAGATCTACTAATACCTGAAATATTGATAGAATTTTTTAAATTTTTTAAAATACCTACTTTAAAATACTTACATTAAATAATAATACAGTTAATATCAAAACTACTTGAAATACGTACACCAATATGTATAAAGCAGGCACGGAAGTGTTGTTATAGCTCATTTTGAGTGGCAATGTCAAACTCACTTGACCGTAAAAGCAAAGACTTATCAAGTTTTGTATAATTGGACGAACAATGGCGGAAAGTAGAACATTTATAATGACACAATATATCGGAATTAGCAGTCGACTATGCATTTTGCGAACATTCTTGATGACTTTGACATCCAAATCATTATCTTTGCATCTTTCATTCAACATTTGAATCTTGTTTCTTATCCAATAAAATTTCTCGGAACTGAAGAAAAATGTGATGAACTTTATAGTCGCCATTGTTAGACTTAAAACTGGTCCTAAGCATGGTGACACTTTGATGATGTTTCTAAAATTTTCACGAATAAACTGTCCAAATCCATAAAATCCTACTAAAAGGAACGCAATCTTGATTATGAAGCTACAATAATCAGGTTTCTTAATTGGTGATTGATAAATGCCTAAGAATTTCATCAATTTCTGTTGAAGTCTAAATTCATCCTCAACTTCTGCTTCTGAAATCTTATTTAAAATAAATTTTATTTTACGTAAAATTCTGGAAATCATTCTGAATTTGTTAAGAAGCAGCACTATAATAAACTGAATACATTCGTTTAAATAGAATTCAATATTTTTAAATTATTATTTATTCATGAAAGGATAGAAATAAAATTTATCATGCATAATTGACGGACTAGTAAGGTATACAAAAAACTTTATGTTTTAAAAATCGAACAGACATTTCAAGGATATAAAATAAATGGTTGGTGGCATTAAATATTTATTAAAATTATGACTCATCATTTTATTGAATAATAAAATAGAAAATTTGAACTTTAGACATTTGATTATAATGAAGCACAATTAATTACTATGCAAAGACTTTAATAAAGTTATTAATGACATGGTCCGTTTTATAAGGATCATGTATATTGGTAAGCATGCATGAAAGAAGCCTGATTTCATTTCTACAGCCATTTGACTCCTCATCATTATAAATAAATAGTTCTTATCGATTTCATAAACATCATCGCAAACAGCCTTTGATGAATCCATCACTTTTTGTCCACCATACGAGTATATGAGGAGCTCAAGAGATGCAACAATGACATGACAAAATGCTCTAAATTTCTTATCAAATTCATCATTTGCTGAGACTTGAAAGCATGCGACACATAGCATGACTGCAATCAAAGTGAACTTCATAAAAATCAATTTCTTGTAAAAATTTCTTACTTTCTGTGTCAAATTTATGACTTTTCTATGAATGTCTACGAATGCCTTCATCTCTGTGATATTAATAGTATCTCGAAGAATTTGAAAATGTGTTTGAAGATACAAACAATGGCCAAGAAATGTGACGTCGAACAGCATCTATAATAAAGTTATAGAAATAGATTTTATATTAAAATCAGTAGGATTTATTCTCAAAGAATGATCTTATTTAGACGAATGTCTTAGCAGCACAGGTAAGTTTCTTGGTAACCTCTTTTATATTGCCAGAGAGTTTTGCTGCTAAAAATAGAATTTTTCCCAGTAATACTCACATTATAAACAGCAACAATGTATGAACAGCTCATTAACGTCAAGTATAGAATAACATAAATAACAGGACATGCCAAATCAAAATGAAAATCAGTCTTAACTTGTAATTCGTAAACAAATTTTGATTCAAAAAAGAGCAAGTTCACGACATTCTTAATGATTGGTCGAGCATTGTAAGACACAATCAAGTTTAGCGTTAAAAGAGCAAAAATCAAGGATGAGAAGTTGTGAATTCTCTTGATTTTGTTTATCTTAGTGTTGTGGATTGTTGATTCCCCTGAAAAGAACAAAGCATTACGTCTGTAGATGCTAAACTTAAATTAGAATTTTAAATCTTGCATAATTTATTGAGCTTTTGAATCTCATCAAATAGGTGGAAAAACTCTTCCTGATGAAATAATATGCTGAAAAAATTGATTAAAGCAAACACAGAACCAACTAATGCAGGAGTAACTTCTAACACTTCTGATAAATTCCTAAAATTATGCACAATGAAGTTTAAAGCTCCATAAAGACAAATAATCAAAGTTCCTAAGCTATAAACTTGAAATATTTTGCACACTAATTTTTGTCTTCTTGTTGGTGCTTGAAAAATGCGAATTGCCTTTAAAATTTTTATTTGAATGTAAAATTCAGGCTTGTTTGTAAAATTTTGAATCATTTTGAAATAAAATTTCACTAATTTTAAAGTTCTTGTTCTAATCCTTTCCATTCGATAATGAAACCACGACTGAACTGAACTTAACATTTGATATTCAATCGTGGATTTTTATAGTTATTAAAAATTCAAGATTTAATTTAAATAATTTTGAGAACTAGAATTGATGAAAATTTAATATCAAAATTTGACAACTTTTTTAAAGTTGGTAGGAAAATCTTTAGGATGTGAGTCGAAACCTCTTAAAGTGCTCCTGTCAACATCCAAAACTTAGAAGCAAGAATTGTTTAAATAATGAGAAATCACGAAGTAACTGATGTGAAGTGTTCTCGTTATTGTTGTAATATCAACATAGGCATATTCATTATATCGTCACACACAATATGAAATGACAACAAGTCATTCAGGAGCGTAATTACATAATCATAGAGCACTGCAAAAGAGAATTATTAGAGAAATTTATTATTATGACTCTTTCCATCCCATTCACAACTTAAAATTCCCATTCAGAATATTCCGTGTATGTCGATGTATAAATATGTGTATGTTTTCATATTCACATTCACATTATGTGCCATTGTGTCTGACATGCATTGTGTGTCGAATGTTTAAAAAACATGCTCTTTCAGGGCGCTCTTTTGTTTATTTTTCTCGTACTTTAATTTCTTTTTTTTTAAAAAATGAGTAAAAAAATTGTCGTTTTATGTTTGAAAGGAAAATAAAGGAAATCACTGTAAAAGTGTAGTTTATTTCTGGGGCTGATGGGGGTGTTGACGTTTCTCTTACATTCATTCATAGGAGACTGAAAGGTATAGGAAATAATGAAGTATGCAAATTATTTTTATGACTCTAATTATTGCTAGAGGTTAAATTCTTTCACATTACTTACTTATTTCGATGACCTTACAGATCAATTGTGATCCATGGCCTCACTCAGATGCCGTCTATCGCTGGCTACAGCTTGCCAATTTCTTATACCAAATGTTATACTGTCTCTATCAAAAACCTCATTCCATGAGTTTTTTTGGTCTTCCACGTGCCCTTTTATAATCCAAAAAGTCAGACTTAAAGACCTTACTTAATGGAGCTTCCACATTCTTTCACATTAAGACGGCTAATTTGTTCTTTTTCAAAAATCTCCTTATCTCTAAAATAAACCAATATCCAATGACTGAATCCAAAAATCAACAAATTTACTAAACAAATGATCAAGTTAGCAGCTTAAGGTGACAGCTTTACCAAACACACTTAGAAATTGTTGATAATTTATTAACTAAATTACTTGTGTAAATAATTACAATAAAATTAGATCTCACAAAATTTAATCTACTCAATCAATCTATTGTACACATATTGTATAATTTTAACATACAATAGCCTGACGCGCCACCATAAAAAAATGTTTATGTCATTAAAAATTCATTTACAAATGATTAAATGCCTTCAAGACACAAACAATGAGCGACAAAAGGAAGAAAAAAAAAGATTTTTTGGCATATTTACTGTATTCTGCCTCTGTGAGATTCATTCATCTAAACAGATATTAATGATTGTCGTAATTTTCTCATCTCTCTTCATCATCATCAACATCATCATTATTTCCATTAAATATATTTTTGACGATGATGATAAATTCCATTGTGCTTGTGTCATTTAATGGATCTTCAGAACTTTTTTGATTATGAGGAGGATCCTTTAAGCATGCCATTATTTACACGAAATATGATGAGTGAAAGGAGGTTTATAGCTTAGTTGGGGATCAAGACTGTCAGATTAAAGTCATAATATGTGTTAAATTCTGATTTTTTTGGGATTCATTTATATTAACCTGTTCCTACCTATTGAGGTATTGCTAAAGCTATGTATTAGCGAATGGTAACCCTTGGATGTTGCAAATTCCCACACAGGATGATCCACAAATTAAAAATCACATTATATTCCACAAAACTCTCATTTTGATATATTTCCATAAAAGCTCAGCAAAGTCCTTATCGTCGTTTGATAGAAACTTAAACAATAAGTATTCCTCATCACATCAAGTGACTTTTTAAGCTCATAAATTTATTTTCTAATCTGATTTTACGATAGAAACTTAAATAGCTTTCTTCTACTTCTTTAAGTTTTATTTTGTTTTGGTTTTAAAGAAGTTTCTTCTTCTTCTTCTTCTCAGCTTGAACTTTTCCTCTTTTCTGTTAAAATTTTTATTTTTGTTTTGTTTCTAAAACAGTTTGTAAGTTTGTATGAATATTTCAGAACTTGCTTTTCGTTATTATCTTGTTTTAAATTATTGATTATTCATGAAAAATTAAAATAATACAGCATTTCAAAAACAATACCGACTTATCCTTTCAAAACAACGATGGTTATGTTTTACACAAAATTTCCAGCACGCAATATCAACAAATTATGTAAAATTCACAACCTAGCCATCGGAAAGATTGAGTAATCCCCCGCAGAAATTTTTTTGGGTTAATATCTTTTCCGAAAATTGCGAAATTAGACTCAAAGAAGAACTAAAATGATTGGATATTTTTCAAAATTATGAAAGTCAATATTTTATTTATTTTTGTGTATCTTTAATCATGGATTGATTCATAAGTTATGTTAAGTTTGCAAAAAAAAAACTTAAAATCTAGCAAAAAGATTTTAAAATTTTAAAAATATTTAAAAGTTTTAAATCTTAAGCTACCAAGTTAGGATGCAACAAATTAAAAATTCTTAATTTTCCAGAATTTTCTCCTAAATAAATTGAATAAAAAAAGAAAATTTCAGCATATTCAAAACAAGATAAAGAATCACATCACAAGATGAGCATGAGTAAATTTCTAATCATTACGTTAAGAATGAGAACTTAACAGAGAGACTTCATTTATGAAACATGAGAGAACTTTTTCTTACGTAAAATAATATGCTGAGTTTGTTGAACTTAGGGAGAGCGAGCTTACGTAAAGAGAGTGACTCGATTGAAGAGAATACCTAAGAATTTTTCTTATCAGAATCGTACGTAAATTTAAAAAGAAATTTATATCAAAAGAGACACGTTTTAGGTATCAAAAACACTGCTTCTTCCTTCTCATTTTGAATAGAAATTTTGAAAAGTCTCCTACTTTTTAACGAGAATAAGAACATCCACATGTTTTGAAAGATTACTTATTTTCTCTTTTTATACTAGCCTTACTTACTAGATAGTTTGTAACTTTAGAATAAGGTTATTATTAGAATTTACCAACTTGGCCAGAACTTCACTGTTTACGGAGGGAAATGATTTGCAGCTGGCTTCAATTCCATTAAAGAATCATTCTCATTTGACATTGTTCACTTTTGGCATAAAATGCTCTAAACCTTAATTAATGATTTCTAGATT